GTGATGTCTTGCCCAAGTACTAGGGACCAGGCAACCACGGTCCCAACCTTCTGAAACCATGAGCCCAAACCAATCCTTCCTCCTTGTATTAGTTACTTATCTCATTGCTGTGATAAAATACCCTGAGAAAAACAATTTAACCAAGGAAGGAAGGGCATATTGAGGCTAAAAGTTGGAGGCTACAGCCCACTATGATGGGGAGGCCTGGTGGCAGGAGCTCAGGCAGCTGCTCACACTGCACCCTAGTCAGGAAGCAGAGAGAGACAAACGCTGGTACTCAACTCCAATCTCCCCTTCATGCAGCTCAACACCCAAGCCCAGGGTGTTCCTACTTCCCTTAACCTTGTCGAGACAGCTCCTCACAGGTGTGTCTTAGTGGCTGTGTCCTGGATGACTCCAGAACTGACAAACTGTCAGTGTTAACCACCACACTCCTTTAGACTGGTCCTGAAGGGATTTTGGTCACAGCAAGCCCCAAAATAACAAATATACCTTAAAAATTAAAACAAGCTGGGTGTGGTATGTACACCCTTAGTCCCAGCACTTGGGAAGCAGAGGTAGATAGATCTCTGTGAGTTCAGACCAGCCAGGGCTATTACACAAGAAACCATCTCAAAAACCAAAACAAAAAGAAAAAACCCAAAATAATGAAAAATTTAAAGATGTCTCACAACTAGCCAGGTGATGGTGGTGCATGCCTTTAATCCCAGCACTCGGGAGGCAGAGACAGGTGGATCTCTGTGAGTTAGAGGCCAGCCTAGTCTACAGAGTGAATTCTGGGACAGAAACTCTGTCTTCAAACAAGACAACAAAACAAAACGAAAACCAAAAATTTCTCACAGCTAGTCTAAGATTTTTTTTTTGACAAATTTTTACTATATAACTCTGACCTGGAATTCATTATATAATGAAGGCTGATCTAGAACTCACTGTAAGCCTCCTACCTCCAGAATGTTGTAATTATAGCAGAGAGGCACCATAGTAAGTCTATGTGCCCTTCCACAGCACTCAGTTTGCAGATGGTCATGCTGGCACTTGACGTGTGCCCTCCTGATGGTCAAAACTTCCTGTTTCCCAGCCCACTGGCTCCTCTTGTTTCCTTCTGTCCCTGAAGGAAGATGTTGCTGTGGAATGGGCTGGGAGGAAGCAGCCTGGTGTCATGAAGGTGCGGATCTGTTTGTTTTCTGGGAGGAGTGGTGGGAGAGAAGATAGGCAGGGTCCTTGGTTATCTCAAGACCAAAGTCCCCCAACAGCAGGTGGCCTGTGGGCAAAAGATACTAGAAGCCAAAGGACCAAATGTTAGCATGATATTCCTGGCCCCTAACTCCAAAATGGTTCAAATACTTTAAGTAAAAAGTGATTATTTTTTAGGTGTGGGTCAGATTTAAGGCCAAGATCACATGTGTGGCTTGCATCTGATTTTCTTTTCTTTTTTTCCAAGACAGGGTTTCTCTGTGTAGCTTTGAAGCCTGTCCTAGAACTCACTCTGTAGATCAGGCTGGCCTCAGACTTAGAGATCTGCCTGCCTCTGCCTCCCGAGTGCTGGGATTAAAGGCGTGCGCCACCACTGCCCAGCTGAGGCTTTTCATTAGGATCCTCACAACAGGGCTACCCTGCTTGTGCCAGAATGGGGGAGGGGGAGAGTGACCCTTTGGTAACACTCATGTGTTAACTCATTTTCTGTTGCTATATTAGAATACCATAGGCTAAACAAAGCATTAACGAGAGAGGTTTTGTCTCTGTGTCCTGAAGGCTAGGAAGTCCATGAGCATGCCAATGTACCAGACTAGGGTCCTTATGTTGTCATTGCATGGCAGAGAACAAGAGAACATATGGCAGGCAGAGGGAGATTGGCCTAGCCCATCCTTTTATTAGGGGCCCTTTCTGGCATTAATCTACCAGGTGATTAGGTGGCCTTACTACCTCTTCAAGGTTCAGCTTGTAAGCTGACCCAATGATGATTTTTTATTTTTGAGATTAAGTCTGCAGATGCCCAGGCTGGCCTCCATCAACTTATATAGTGAAGGATGACTGTGACCTCTTGATCCTCCTGCCTGTGCCTCTCAAATGCTAGAATGACAGGTCTGCACCACTATGCCCAGCTGATGACAGCAAATTCACCTTGAGTTTGGGGGCAAACTTCAGGTCCCAGCACTAACCTTGGCTTTGTCACCTGTTGCTGCTATAGTCTTTTGTAACTGTTTCTTTCAGTCAGTGACAGCCTGTGCTGCTGCAGTCCGTAACCACTGTGTCAGTCAGTGACAGCCTGTGCTGCTGTAGTCTGTAATAACTGTGTCAGTAAGTGACAGCCTGTGCTGCTGCAGTCCGTAACCACTGTGTCAGTCAGTGACAGCCTGTGCTGCTGCAGTCCGTAACCACTGTGTCAGTGACAGCCTGTGCTGCTGTAATCTGTAATAACTGTGTCAGTCAGTGACAGCCTGTGCTGCTGTAGTCTGTAATAACTGTGTCAGTAAGTGACAGCCTGTGCTGCTGTAATCTGTAACCACTGTGTCAGTCAGTGACAGCCTATGCTGCTGTAGTCTGTAATAACTGTGTCAGTCAGTGACAGCCTGTGCTGCTGTAATCTGTAATAACTGTGTCAGTCAGTGACAGCCTGTGCTGCTGCAGTCTGTAACCACTGTGTCAGTCAGTGACAGCCTGTGCTGCTGCAGTCCGTAACCACTGTGTCAGTCAGTGACAGCCTGTGCTGCTGTAGTCTGTAATAACTGTGTCAGTCAGTGACAGCCTGTGCTGCTGTAGTCCGTAACCACTGTGTCAGTCAGTGACAGCCTGTGCTGCTGTAGTCTGTAATAACTGTGTCAGTCAGTCACAGCCTATGCTGCTGTAGTCTGTAATAACTGTGTCAGTCAGTGACAGCCTATGATGCTGTAATCTGTAATAACTGTTCAGTCAGCATAAATCCCTGAGCTATCTAGTTAGGTCTAGGTGAGACCCTGTATTGAAAACAGACAAACAATAAAAGCTATAGCCAGAAAGGCACATAACCGTAAGGATGGCCATGAACCCCTAGCTTCAAAGATTCTCTTCAGGGGCTAGAAGGGTGACTCAGTGGATAAAAGCACTGATTGCTCTTTTAGAGGTCCTGAGTTCAATTCCCAGCACCTACATGCCAGCTGACAATTGTCTATGACTCCAGTTCCAGGGGTCCTGACACACACAGACACCCATGCATGTAAAACACCAATGTACATGAAATTAAATAAATAAAAAACAATATCAAAGATTCTTTTCAAAGACATGTGCACTTTCCACAGCTTGTGTTGAACGAGAGTTAATGTTATCATTGGAAGATCACTAGGCCCACTTCCTTATCTCGCTTGGCTCCAAGAGAAAGACTGAGAAAAAATTCATTTCCTTGTGGGTAAAATAAGGAAATTAACCACTCCCTTCTTGGCCTTGCAAGAAAGGTGGTGTCCCATGGGAGCACTGGGCAGTGAGCCATCCACCAGCTCCTGGCACCACAGGGACCTCGTCAGGTCTGGCCTCCCAGTGCCCTGCCCAGTGCAGTCACCGCCAACTCAGATGGAAACCAGTGGGTTGCCAATCCAGAGCACTGGCAAAGTCTGTTTCTGGGAATGTGCCCTGTGGAGGAGGTTGTTGGGTGCAGTCAGACTTGATGTGCCAATGAAGTGCATGGAACTGCATTTTTAATAGGGAAATTAGGATGAATGTAGGTGCTCAGAGGCAGGAAATTGGTTCCATAGACTAAGCCTTAGAGAGTTGGAGGCTTTCACAGCCAGTGACACAGTTTTGAAATGCAGATCTGTGGACCTCAGTGTTCCCTAATGAAGCAGAATAAACAACTGTGCAGACATATCTGTGGTGTAAATCCACAGAAACCACTGGAAGGACAGATAGAGGACAGGTTCCTGCCTTTTCTTCTTATTGACAGTAATTAACTGTGTAGATTAAGCCCGGCTGTCACAAAATTCATAGAAATAATGGACAAAACACATAAATTCCCAGCACCCAGAGCCATTAGATGCCTTTCTGCACATTTGGTCTGTGTCCCGGTGCATAATGCCACAGGGTGTACATCCTGAATACACACTCCACCACTGAACCACCCAGCCCTTACAGAATGGTCCACTTTTGGCTTCCTCTTCCTTCTGTTTCCTCTAGTAGTGGCTGAGGCTGAGGCTGGCATCCAGGAACCCAGGCTTGCTAAGGGCAGTGTTCTTACAGTCATGCTCCAAAGCCTTTCTTTTATACTCTTTGACATTATAGGTGCTTTTAAACTTTTAAATTACACTCATTTGTGTGTGCATGTATGCTATGGTACATGTGTGAAGGTCAGAGGGACAAATTGCAAGAACTGATTCTTTCCTTCCATCATGTGAGCTCTGGGAATCGAACTTAACTGGTTAGGCTTGACAGCAGGCACCCTTATCCGCCGAGCCATCTCACTGGCCCTAGATGTTTCTTTGAAATGTACATGTGTATAGCTGGATGTGGGGCTTTTGCCTGTAATCCTAGCACTTGGGGCAGAAGCAGGAGGATAAAGAGAGTTCAAGGCCAGCCTGGGCAAAATGGACAGACTCTGTTTCACAAGAATAATAAGAAGAAATAAGGTATATGTGTAACTAGGAAAAGAATGATGAAAGAAGGGAAAACAATGTCTTCCAATGACTCATGACATCGCTGAAAATTAGAAGCTTGAACTTTTTTTTTTTAAACAGAGCTAGCCTGTCTTTTTGTGGTTGTAGGAGCTGGGTTCAGCAGGGAGGTTGGGTGGCCTGCCAAGTTCTGGGTGTTTGTGGTTGTGTGGGGGTGGCACTAAGGCCTCCTCTCCTGGGCTCTGTGGAATACTTGGGACTGGCAGGAATTGCAGGGGGGCTAAAAGGATGCTCAGGAAGGGGAGGTGGGGTGAGGAGCCATCTTCCTGTTTGTTGAGTACCAACAGATGCAGGCCAGGAGATATTAGGGAATAAAGGGCCAAAGTCCTTATTTATGGCCTCGGGATAGTTAATGTGTAATATTCTGGGATATAAGCCTGACCAAGAGGCGATACCGTGAGCACAAGCCTCTTGGAGTGATTGGAAAAGCTGTGGCCAGGAGCTGTCACCATGTCGGTGAGGACGCTGGAGGGTCCACTTCCCTCCACTCACTTGTCTTTGCTTGAGTGTGTGGGTTGGGGTGATTTGGGGGTCCTCTATTGTTGCCCTTCTCTTGGTCTGTTTCTCCATGAGCATCAAAAGAGTGCTGAGTTGTCCAGCATGGTGGCTTATACCTTTATCCCAGCACTCAGGAGGCAGAGACAGGTGGCTCTTTATGGCTTCAAGGCCAACCTGGCCTACATAGTGAGTTCTAGGACAGCCAGAGGTATATATGGAAAGACCCCATCTCAAAAAGAAAAAAGAAACTTGGGTAGATGGTCTCTAAATCCATTAGCATTGAAGCTGCCTGTCTCTGTGCTACTGCCAGGTTCAGGGCCGGGGCCTCTCTGTGAGAATGGCAATACTAACAATTTGTTGTGAGTGCTAACCTCTATTGAGTCTCATAAAGTGAGAAGTTGAGGTGCAAGGGATGGGGCAAGTTTCCATATCAATGATAGAGTGTGTATCTAGCATATTTGAGGCCCTGGGTTTGATCTCTAGCACCAAAAAATAACATGTTTTTAAAAGGAATTATGTGGAGTCTAGCTCAGTGGGTAGAATGCTTGCCCAGCCTGTGTGAAGCCATGCTCCAGCACTGCATAAACTGTGTGTGGTGGTACAACCTGAAAACCTAGCACTCAAGGGCCAAAGGCAAATGGAGCTCTGAGTTTGAGGCCAGCCTGGTCTACATAGTGAGTTCTTGGCCATCCAGAAGTACATACTGAGACCTTGTCTCTAAAAAGAAAGAACGAAAGAGGCTGGGCATGGTGGCACACACCTTTAATCCCAGCACTGGGGAGGCAGAAGCAGGAGGATCTCTGTGAGTTCTATACCAGCCTGATCTACAGAGTGATTTCCAGGACAGCCAGGGCTGTTACACAGAGAAACCCTCTCTCAAAAGTCAAGGGGGGTGGGAAGAGAAGAGAGAGAGACTTAAGCTCAAGATGCTATCACAGGAGGCCACCATCTACAAGTTGCAAAGGTATTACACTTTCTTCAAGAGTAGAGCCTTTGTTCCTATCTGGCTCAGCTGTGGCTTGTAACTTTGGACAAGTTGATGTCCTTCTCCCAGGGACTTGGTCTCACCTGATGTGTATGGGATGGGACCACATGGCATTCTCTGGGGTTTAAATGGTAGGTTCATTCCCTAGAATTGTTGAGACAAACCACTTCAAAATAGGGGGGCCATCACCACAGAGATTTCTTTCTTGGTTCTGGCCAAGCCTGGAATCCAGAGTGGGCAGGGCCTCCATACCCTGAAGGCTCTAGGGAAGACTTTACGTATCTACTCCAGTTTTCCTTTGGCTATGGGCATCCATAAGGCTTGTCTCCAGAAGCCTCATAACTACAGGGTTTGCCCCTCTGCATATCACCTTCCCTTTTGGGTGTGTTTCTGTGCCCAGTTCCCTTTCCTTTCAATTACAAAAAATATTTTTGTTTTTGTGGTTAATTTGCCTGTGTGTGTCTATGCCATGTGCCCACAGAGGGTAGTTGAAGGCATTGGATTCCCTGAAACTAGAATTATGGATGGTTGTAAGCCACCATGTGGGTTCTGGGAACCAACCCGGGATCATATATAAGAGTATCTCTAATCACTGAGCTGTGTTTCCCTTCCTTTTACATTTAGGACATTAGCTACAGTAGATTTAGGGCCTGTCCTAGACCAATATGATCACATATTAGGTTGTACCAAGACCCTACTTCCAAGGAGGCCACAGTAGCAGATTCCAGGTGAGATGACGAGGATGCCTGTGTGTGTTTGGCAAATGACACTTTCCAAGCATGCAGGATGTCCATGTGACTGGGTGTCAGTGCTGGAAGGGCTAGTGGTATCCTGACCTCTGCCTCTCAGGGAGACTTTGGTGGCCCAGACACATTCTTGGATTTCTCTATTTTGGTCACTTCGCCACTCTTTTACTTTGTCATTCTCCTTCCAGATAACCTCTTCATAGCATCAATAGGGAACCCTGGCCCAAAGGGGTGAGGCTGGCCCCAAGTCATTTGGTCAGCTCTACCACCTATGAACTGCTCCATCTCCAGCCTGACTTTGCCTTCTATCTCTCTGGTCTTAGGCTTTGTTGAGTGGGGACAAGGCTCTGGGTCTATACATGCTCCCAAGTCCTAATGCCCCTATTTACTCAAATGTTCCCTTGACCCTGGCCTTGCTTGTATCCTAGCTCTGTGGCAGCCTCCATCTCCACTCTCCCAGGCTCCAGTTCTTCTGTTCTAGTCAGGAGATCAGGAATATAAGGAATGGGTACTTCTCCCCACCCTAATGCTGCTACTTCTTCCACCATCTCAGGAAGCCAGGAGAGAGAGGGTGGATGGCATCTCCTGGGAGCTAGCATGTGCACACACACAGTGAGAATGTGAGTGTTGCCATGTTGTCATGCCTGCATTCCTTAGCTCATCTGAAAGGAACTGTGGGTTGTCCTGTCAGGATCAACTCACAGCCCAGAGACAGTTCTAATACCAAGAGCCAGAAGACAGTAGAATATCAGTCTGGGTAAAACCAAGAGTAGCTGCTTCACTTCCTGCCCCAAGAACACTGTGAGCTGGTCCATTGAACTCGTTTTGTTGTGGCAGTCTAAGAAAGACTGCTAGGTTCTGACAAGGAGAGGCCAGAGAATATGTGAGCCACCACCAAGCACACAGGATGCCCCAATAGAGACCTGACCATCCCTTTCTCTATGGACAGGCCCAGAACCCTGCTCTAAGGTGACTGGTACTAAAGCTGACATGTCCCTGTCATCAGAGCACCCCCCAAATGTTCCCTTTATTTTGCTCTGTAGTTCATGCCTATAACCCAAGCACTCAGGAGGTCAGTGTAGGAGGATCACCAGTTGAAAGCCAGCCTGAACTACATAGCAAGTGGGGGGTATTTGGGCAGGGTGTTAAGCCTCCCTTGCGTTCACATCAGCCATCCTCCATCCTTCTTTGTAGTGAGGAAGGACTGATAACCTTCCCACAGCTGTGCTCTTGACCTCACCCCCAAGCCCCCACCCAGACACAGGAGCTGATTCAGGAATCCTTGGTGATGCTTGTCAACAAAATACAACAAGACAAGCAGCTGGAGAGGTGTCAGCAGTTAAGAGCACTTGCTGCTCTTCCAGAGGACCCAGGTTCAATTCTCAGCAACCACATGGCAGCTCACAACTGTTGTAACTCCAATTCCAGGGACATCCAATGTCCTCTTCTGCCCTTTGCAGGCAAGAGGCATGTATATTGTGCACAGACATCCATGCAGGAAAAACACTAATAATAATAACAACAACAATAGGCTGGAGAGATGGCTCAGCGGTTAAGAGCATTGGCTATACTTCCAGAGATTCTGATCTCAATTCTCATCTTTAATAGGGTCTGATGCCCTCTTCTGGCATGCATGCAGAGCACTCACACATAAAATATAAATAAATAAAGTTTAAAAATAATAATACAAGGCAAGAAGAAACCAGACAGAGAACCTCACAGTACAGAAATGCTGTCCATAAGAGCTACTCAATGCAGCTGTCACCCTGTGGTCACAAGTGTGAAGGGTGGACACTTCAAAGCTATGAGCTTTGGAAACTCAGCCTGGACACTTTCTCTCACCATCAAAGATGGCAGATGAGTCCGGGGCTGGAGAGATGACTCAGAGTTTAAGAGCACTGGTTGCTCTTCCAGAGGTCCTGAGTTCAAGTCCCAGCAGCCACATGGTGACTCATAGCTGTCTGTAACTCCAGTTCCAGGAGACCAGACACCCTCATTCAGACATATATACTGGTAAGACACCATTGCACATAAAAATAAAAAATTATAAAAACAAATTCATTTAAAAAAAACAGATAGAGGAGTCAGCTGCCAAGAAACTGGGGTACTACTGATGGGAGCAAGGGCAGAGGAACAGTTAGATAATATGGGGGTAGCTACCCTCATTTCTTCCATTTCTGGGTCAGGTGCTATGGTTGGGGCTTACAAATCGGATGCTAAACCTTCTGCAACCTGCTTGAAAGTGGGTGCTGCTGGTCTTGGGGTCTCCCTCAACAGCTGTCACATAGTGGGTACTCAACAACTGCTTCTGATTTTTTTTTTAAGGAGTGGGTTTGGAATTCTAGGACTTGTGCATGCTAGGTAAGTGCTGTACTACTTAGCTATATTCCAGCCCAGATTTATCGATTAATTTTGTTATTTGACAATTTTATACTCACATATAATGTATTCTGATCACTCTCGCACACCCCCTTTTTAGTGTTATGTGTATGGCTGCACTCCCGTGTCAGTAGACTGGAGTTTAAGATTAATCAACTACAGGTGGTGATGGCGCGTGCCTTTAATTCCAGCACTTGGGAGGCAGAGGCAGGTGGATCTCTGTGAGTTCAAGGCCAGCCTGGTCTACAGAGCTGAGTTTGAAGACAGGCTCCAAAGCTACAGAGAAACCCTGTCTCAAAAAACAAAAACAAAACAAACAAACAAAAAGCATGAAATTAATCAATTAGGCTCAAATGCCTGGCCAGGGAGCCCCATAGCTCCTCCTGACTCTACCTCCCCTAACTTGGATTGCAAGAAGGCATCACCATATCTCACTGTTTTTTGTTTTTGTTTTTGTTTTTTTGAGAAAAGGTTCCACTATGTAGCTCTGGCTACATAGTTGGGAACTTGCTATGTAGGTCAGACTGACCTCAAATTCACAGAAATCTACCTGCCTCTGCCTCCCAAATGTTAGGATTAAAGGTGTGTGCCACCATGCTCAGGGCAGAGATGCAGCAGAGTCATCCAGAATGGCTTGATAGCAGGATGGCATAAGATGGTGGCAGGACAATGGGTTCCTCTCATGATTCCCTTAAGGAATTCTTCTGTTCCTCCAGGAGAAATTTGAGATCACAAACTTGAACATGAAATCTGGGATGACCCTGAAGATTAAAGGCAAGATCCACAAGGATGTTAACAGGTGAGCAAGGTGTGGGCAGGGCTGAGGACTAGAACACTTCAAAGGCTCAGGAAGCTCCTTACTATAGCCCTGCTGGCTCCTGTTAGGAGCTGCCTTTGCAACCTTTGGGTTAGTAACCTTAGAATGTCCAAACAGTTACTGTGCTCTCTGTCCCTTGTCTCAATTGACATCAAAGAGGCAGGTAGAGAAGGGTGGCACTATGTCTGGCCCAACAGGTGTGGAGCTTGTACTGAACTATACACGTCCTCCCTCTTAACCAGGTCCTGTGACTCTAACCAGAGGCAGCCATGAGAGGGCAGCAAAGGTCCCACTTGTGTCTGCTACCTGAGCACTGCAGTTAACTCCCCAGCAGCTCAGCAGTAGGTAGATAAGTAGGTAGTGTGATGCCAGAATTTTGAGATAAACTTCTAGCTCCTGTGTTAGGAAGGAGACAGGCAGACAAAGAGTAGAGGCTCAAGGGTGGTGGTGGTGTATGCCTTTAATCCCAGCACTTGGGAGGCAGAGGCAGGCAGATCTCTGTGAGTTTGAGGCCAGCCTGGCCTATTAGAATAAGTTCCAGGGCAGCCAGGGCTATATAGAAACCCTGTCTTGAAAAACAAACAACAATAACAACAAAAGAGTAGGAACTCAGAAAGGGACCTACTCAGGTCTCTTGCTTGCAGAAACATGCAAATATGCCTGGTCTGAGAACCCTCGCTCCTAATAGACTCCCACACCCCAAACATCCTACTTTCAGGGACTCTGAAGGTCGAACCCAGGCTCCTTTTGAGATCCTGTCAAGCCATATACCCTGCTTGCATCCCTCTGGTGACAGTCCTTCAACTGTCTCCCCCATGACAGACAACCCTACCCCCCATCCTAAGCTGCTCTCCCGGCACTCCCCCCCCATCCTAAGCTGCTCTCCCGGCACTCCCCCCCCCATCCTAAGCTGCTCTCCCGGCACTCCCCCCCATCCTAAGCTGCTCTCCCGGCACTCCCCCCCCCATCCTAAGCTGCTCTCCCGGCACTCCCCCCCATCCTAAGCTGCTCTCCCGGCACTCCCCCCCCCCATCCTAAGCTGCTCTCCCGGCACTCCCCCCCCCATCCTAAGCTGCTCTCCCGGCACTCCCCCCCATCCTAAGCTGCTCTCCCGGCACTCCCCCCCATCCTAAGCTGCTCTCCCGGCACTCCCCCCCATCCTAAGCTGCTCTCCCGGCACTCCCCCCCATCCTAAGCTGCTCTCCCGGCACTCCCCCCATCCTAAGCTGCTCTCCCGGCACTCCCCCCCATCCTAAGCTGCTCTCCCGGCACTCCCCCCATCCTAAGCTGCTCTCCCGGCACTCCCCCCCCATCCTAAGCTGCTCTCCCGGCACTCCCCCCCCATCCTAAGCTGCTCTCCCGGCACTCCCCCCATCCTAAGCTGCTCTCCCGGCACTCCCCCCCCATCCTAAGCTGCTCTCCCGGCACTCCCCCCCATCCTAAGCTGCTCTCCCGGCACTCCCCCCCTATAGCTTCACCATTAACCTGGGCCAGGGGCAAGACAAGCTGAACCTACATTTTAACCCCCGTTTTAATGAATCCATCATCGTCTGCAACACTCATGATGGCAACAGCTGGGGACAAGAGCAACGAGACAGTCACATGTGCTTCAGTCCAGGAACAGAGGTCAAGGTGAGGTCAGACGGGAGCCCAAATAATGGACATGGGTGCACACCAGGCTCCCCTGGCCCTCCTGACATGCTCCCTCCCCTTGCAGTTCACTGTGGCCTTCCACAGTCATGAGTTCAAGGTGACACTACCTGATGGACACACAGTGACCTTCCCCAACAGGCTGGGCCACGACCACCTGCACTACCTAGGCATGGTTGGGCTCCACATCTCCTCCTTCAAGCTTGAGTGAGCACACAGCTCGTCCTCAGAACAAGACCTCAACCTACAAACCCGTTCCAGCCCCACAGCAAGCCCCATCAGAACCACTGCCTTTAGGTCCTGCATTTCCCAGGTTTCATTCACAGCTTCTGTTCTCCTAACTCCAAGGTCAAGAAAAATAAATAAATAAAAGAATCCGCATTTATTATTTTCACATCAAGAACTGTTATCACTTCCCACGTGGCTTGATGTTCCCCACCTCTGATACAGAGTCAGAAACTGAGGCACAGGGCATAGTGTTGTGGAGAGGAGAGGACAGGAGGTGCTCCTCAGCCACCCTGTACATGTGAACCTGCCTCCCTGAGCACCTGCCAAGCTGCCCCATGGGATTGTGGGGCAGATACTGGTTCCAGGCACCTGGGGCCAGGGTGTTCCAGGAACTGCAGATAAGGGTCCCACCTGGGCCTCTTATCATGGAGCATTCCGGGTTGGTTACTCATTACCTCCTCTGCCCCTCCTTCTAGCTGGGGGGGGCCTGAAAGGGGGTCCTCAACTCTCCAAACTACCAGCAGGGGAAAGGGTATCTCAGTCGGGGCTGCCCCTGGGCTCCTTAGGCAGTTAGCTTTTATCAGAAAAGCTTTTAGGTTTAGGCATGGGCAGCAGGTCTGGGGTATACAGAAGATGGAATCTACTGCAAGGTCACACCGGACCTTTCTCTGGGAACTGAGGAGGAGCCTGGAATAGGGCTATTGAGAACACAGTGGTGGCCTTCTGGGGCAGCTCTAAATTAGCAGGGGCAGACAGTCCCACTCAGAGACAATTGCCCTGTGTCTGGGGCACAAAAGCTACACTGTGAGGTCATGGGGTGAGACAAAGGGCCTAGATGCATTAGAGGGAGGTGGGAGGTGGGTCAAGTCAATAGGGACCCCCCCACTCATGTTTGTCTTGCACAGACCAGGAAGGATCTGGGGCTAACTCCAGTTGGGCAGATGTAATTGTTAGGTGATGGTGGATGAGCTCAGCCCCTCCTCTCTCTGAGTCCTGAGGATGGCAAAACCTGCAACCCATGTCCAGTCCCTCACACCTTGACTTCATCATCTTCCTCAGCATCAACAAATTCGAAAGCATTGACCTGCACCGTGCTGGGCACTGGGGCTCTGCCGCTGGCAGGCAGTGCACTCCACCCCTCATTCAGGCTCTCCCAGGAGCCCTGGGCTTGTGGTAGCACCCCGGCCAGCTCCCGCCGAGCATCCATCTCAGTGTAGTGATGGCTGGCCCTGCTGATACCCCAGCTGCCTCCATGCCTGCCAAAAGCCATGGTAGGAGGTACCTGGGCATTCTCTCCTACAGGGCTGGGCTCTACCTCAGCCACAGGGTCCAACACAGCAGTTACCCCATTAGGGAAATGTCCATGGGATGGGGGGCTTGCTGAAGGAGTTGGGGTGGGCATGGCACAGGCTGGGGGTTTTATAGTAGGGGCAGGGGGGGTTGCTGCTGAGGTGGGGGGGTTGGCAGCAGGGGTTGGGGTCTCAGCTGCCTGGGCTTCTGAAAGATTCATGGCCCCCAGTAGCTCACTGAGGAGTGAGGGGCCTAGGTCAAGGTCAAAACGGAAGGACAAGAGAGAGTCAGAACGTCGAAGCTCAGGCTCACAGGGGAAAGCATTTTGCCCTCGGTCTTGAGCATGGTTCTGGTCCCGGTCATAGTCAGGGTCTCGGTTGCTGTGCTTTTCCACACGTGGCAGGCGTGAGATGGTGCAGAACCCAGAATCCAGGCCTAGCAGAGAAACGGAGGAGGTCAGAGCTGGGGTCCCTAGCCTGTTCAGGACAACCCTGACCTGCCATGTATGTGGCTCTTGGAAAGCTGTACCCTCTGCAGGCCTCTACTTCTCCTGCCTCTCCAATGTAAGGACTCCACAGCCTTCCTAGCACATGACCTCTGAACTAACCCTGACCCCACTTTGCAAAAGAGCAAATGGAAGTTCAGTTTTGGATGGGACAGACCCTGCCCAAAGCCAATCTGTCAGGCTTGAAACTGTGCCTGCAGCTTGAATCTTGTCACTCAGTCCCTGGTGTGGACTTGGCCATGGCTCCTGGTTCCCTATTGAGACTAACTGAACTCATTTATCTGTGGGCACACGTAGGAACCAGAAGCCAGGGCCTGAACAGAGAAATCATAGGTTCTCAAGACAGGGACATGTCCTCCAAAGATTACCATCCCAACCAGGACTTCCAGGCCTGACACCAGTGATGGGCTAGTAAATATGGAGTTCCCTGGATATAGAGGCAGCAAGATTGTAATGTAGAGCATAGCCATGAGGGGGCAGCAATAACCCATGGTCCCCTGCCAAGGCCACGGTGGCATTCACACCTGAATCAATTTGCCAAGTTACACCAATCTTTGTTCAAATAACAGCTGTGTCCCAAGCACCTGCTGCAGAACCGCCTAGTGCATATATGACTTTACTCAATCTTTTTCTGTTTTGTGTTTTGAGACAGGGTCTTTCTATGTAGCTCAGGCTGTCCTGGAACTCACTCCATAGATCAGACTGGCCTGGCCTCATGACTTCACTGAATCTTAGCATTGAGACTAAGGCACCCATGTAGGTGAGGACTGGAACTCAAGAGGTCCATGTGCTTACTGAAGTTGGAAGAACCAGGATTGGAAATCAGAGTCAGATTGGAAACCCTCTGACACTGAGGGGTGCTTAATGGAAGGAAACAGAACTGGGGAACTAGCCAGAGGGCCCGGAGATGGGAAAGGCTTGTCAGAGTCACAGGGAAAGTTAGAAGGCTGCTAGAATACAAACTCTATTTCTACCTCAGCCTCAGTGTTATGAGGCCTAAGCATGCTGGCACCCACCTCCCTAATGCCACAACCACCCCTCATCCTCAGCCTAGGTTGGGGGTCAGACTCCATTGAGAGATTTAGCAGCTGTCGGGAAAGACTATTATGAAGTTCTGGCAGAACCTCACAATCTCTCCGGACTTGAATTCTGGCAATGGAAAAGAGACGGTGAATCCAGGTCCTCACCATAACCATAGCGGCCATCTGTGGAGCTGGCAGGACTGCTGTCAAAGTTGAGTTTGCCCACCACCAGGCTGTCATAGGTGGCCTGGTTGAGCTGGGGCAAGGAGATGGCATTCTTGATGATGGGGGAGACGGCAGGTGGGGCAGGTGAGGGTGCAGGTGGGGAAGCCGTCCTTCGAGGTGGCACCCCCACCCTGCGCACCTGCTGGAGCTTCCGGGCCAGGAAGCTTCGGGGCGAGCGGTGGGTGTTTCCAGAGCGGCCTCCATGGTTGCTGAGGAAGGAAGTATCACCAAAGACATCCCCACCACGGCCCACATGCATGGTGTGGCGGAAGTCTCCAAGTGGGGGGCTGATCATGTCTGCTGTCAGCCGCCTCTTTCCATGGGAACTGGACACCCATCCTACAGGAGACAGCTTGCCCAGGCTCATGGTAGGGGCTCCCCCTGGGGGCCGGGCATCAGCTTTGGCTGCTCACAACTGCTGGTCCATGCCCACCCGGGCCAGGGAAGATGGCGGGCTGGGACTTAGGGACCCTACTTAGCCTCTTTCTGTTGATGAAGGCGTCGGTGAAGCAGAAGCCAACCCTTGACTCTATTAAGGTGCTGTCCCCAGTGCCAAGTCTGAGGAAGTCTATTGCTTCTCTCTCCCAGAGGCCCTGCCCCTGGCCCTGGTGAGGCTGGCAATCAGAGTAGACACACGACGGGTGGTCCCCGTCCTGGGGTGGAGACCTGGAAGGGCAGAGACAGCATTGTGGCATGGCAGCAGAAGAGGAAATCCGAGTTCAAATAGTAGCCACCCAAGAGAACAAATGAAGCTGCCCAACAACGTTCCTTGACTACAGCCAGCCAGGCATGAAGGAAGACCTGCAGGGTCCACATGTAGGAAGTTCAGGGAGCTGGGGGAGGTGGTAACAATGGAGGAATGCTTACTAAGCAAGCTTGAGGACCTGAGTTTGGCTCCCCAACAGCCATGTAAAAGTCAAACCCAGTGGCATGTGCCTGTAATCCCACTGTTTGGTGGGAGAGGGAGGGGTAGTCTAACCAAACAAACAAAACACAAGGTTCAGGTTCAGTGAGTGGCTCTGTCTCCAGGAACTAAGGAAGAGTGACAGAGCAGGACGTCCAGTGTTCTCCTCTGACTTCTGAAAGTGAGCACATGGACATAGGCACCCACATACATGTCCATGCCAGAGTTTGAGGACAGGCAGCATGGATGGCCATGGTAATCAGAAATGTGGGTGCCTCTGAGCGCCATTGCCTGGTCTCCATTCTGCTCTGAGTACACAATGGGCATCAGTGAAGCAGGAAATGACCAATCACCATGGGTCAGGTGCCAATGGCTCTCCTGCACAAGTTAGGCAGGCCCTAGCATAGGAATGAGAAACTGACTTGAGAGTATAGTGGCTTGCCTGTGAGCTTCTCGGAATGAAATGAGAGCGGAGTTCCCCATCCCAGCAACCCTGAGCCCCAGACAACATGTCGGTTCTCTGGGGGTTCAAATCTATTCTACCTGGAGAGGTCAAGAGAAAGGAGGCGCCCTGCCAAGGTCTTGTGAACTGCTGTGTACACAGCCTGCCATGAAGCCAGCACTGGCGTTCCTTAGAACCACCTGCCTACAAAGTGCTTCCTGGAAAAGTGATCCATCCTGTGGTCAAAAGTGGCTTTTTCCAGCCGGCTCCTGCATGCTCAAACAGATTGAACGCTCTGAGAAGGCCTGCAGAAAGGGCTTTATCATTTGGTCAGGTTGATGGCAGAGCCTTGCTGTTGGGGAACAAGTTTTAGGAAAAAAAAATAGTCCTTTGAGTGTCAAAAGCTACTCCCTACATATAATTGTCCTTCCTGATCCTTCACCCACTTCTGCTGTCCTACCCTTCTCAGAGGATCCCTCTGTGTCCCCTCTTCTCTTTCTCTAGGTGGCTGGAGGGTACTTAGGATCCTGTAGCCCATACTCTGCTTTTCTGTGACCCAGAGAGGGCCATGCTTGCTTAAGGTCTCATCAAAAAGCTAGTCCAAACTTGAACTCGGGGCCTCTGACTCACAAAAGCCCTTGCCGGCTTTCAGGGCCCAGTCTTGTTTCCCTGAGCACTTTGAGGGTGGAGTAATGCCTGGATTTTCCTGCCTTTCTCCCTCCCAGAGCTTTTAGCACATGGCCAAATCCACAGCCAGCCTAACGATTAGCTGAGATAACCTTCCGGCCAGAGGACCACCCCTGCCACCTTCTGAGGGGGTAGAGTAGATTGGGGACTAGGTGTGCTCACCCTGTGACCTTGGACAAGTCACCACACACCTGTTTAATTGATAAAGATCTAGACCTGAGTTTCAATTTTTTTTTTAATTTTCTCAACCCTAGCTGCCGCCTCCAAGCATAAAATTCTCAATGCAGCCCTTCTATAATGTTATTTGAAATTCAAAATAGGTTAACTAATAAGATAAAACAAAGAGGAGAACTGGACAAAGCTTGCTTTGTTTTGGGACTGCATTCTCTTCCTTCCCACCAGCTGACCCTCCTCCAATCCTAGCTCCTCCCCCATTTGGGGGAACTTCTGAATCATCCCTTTCCCTGGCACCCCCAGCACCGAGAAGTCCTCTCGGAATGTTTGCTGAAGTTATAAAGCATTCTGCATGTTGTTGGCTGACCAATGACATGATGTCATCAGATGATTCTCCAACACCCCCTTGAGGCTGGAAGGCTGGCTCAGGCTACAAAGAGTGCTGACATGCCCAGAGAACAGACTCATCCAAGGTCCCGTGGCAGGTAAACACCAGCCAGATTTCCCAGCTCCACAGAAGACTAGTCTCTAAACTTTAGAGTCTAAAGGAAAAAGCTGTGGAGCCCAGTAGGGCTCACTTTGCAAAATGCACATGGAGGAGTCAACTGTGTCTACCATGTGGACAGGGTGGCCACCCATCTCTCCCCCACCCCATTCTCTAACTTCTGAGTTTCTTCCAGGTTCCTGCCCCATCCAACCCCCTGACCAACGTTGTGCTGAAGCCACCTCCCAAATGCCTCTGGGCACCTCAGATAGCATTTTCTACATCTACACCATCGTCTGCAGCAGTATCCTGGCCCAACTTCAGCTACTGTCTTCCCATGGAGAAAACAGGAAGGGCCTCCAAGCCAGAGAAAGGAGGAAGAGGTAGAAGATGTAAAAACTCAATTCTCCCATCCTGGAGCAGGCAGGCCTGGGTTCAAATCCAACACCAAGTAAGGGACATCTTTCATTCTAGTGACCCTTGGTGGCAGCCACCTATGGCTTGATGCTAGCTACAGACTACTGTTGGCTTTACATTCGCACCTGTGCTGGGTGTTGAGATACAAGGACCCTTTTCTCAAAGGCCCAGGAGCCAGCCCCTGTAAATGCTCAAATCACCCATTTTACATGGGGAAAATGAACCCTAGGTCACAGAATAAGAAGTGCACACTGGAGCTTGCTTACATTCTATCTATGCTGGCAGAAGTGGGGAAGTTACCAGAGAAGACCAGGGATGCTGGCTCTACAGTTCAGCATCTATGACCTTGGCATGAACTGCTCGCTGCAGGTGAGATATCAGTATCCCAGGAGCACTTACATTTACCAGATCAGCGGTATGGGCATGTGACCAGAACTCCCTTGGCAGTAAAGAGCACAGGGACAAGTTTAGGGGCTTTGGCAGGATGCACTTACTCAGAGACCAACAGGGGTGGATGTGGATGGAAGCAAGGAAGTTGGGTAAGAGAAGCCACTCCGATGGTGGAGAGGGCCAGGAGGTAGGGGTAGCCGCTCCTTGGAGTACCCAGATACTCCTTCAGGCAGGTGCACAAAGCTCACCAACCTGGGCAGCCTGATGCATGCGGCAGCGGGCAGGGGAGGGGGTGTCGCTCAGCTCTTTGACATCAATGCGGGATTGTGGGATTCTGTTACTTCAGATGTCCCCAACCTGTGATATTTGGGATTAGAAGTTAAGTCCTTCAGCACTTTGAGGTGGAAGACAGGGGAACTGATGCCAGAAAGTGGGTAGTAAGCTGCTAAATTTCACTGCCCTTAGGATAGAAGGAGGCTCCTTGGGCCATTAAGGAGCAAAGTGGGAGGAGAAAGTGGGGTTTTTCTTTGTTGACAAGGTCTCCCTATATAGTCTAGGCTGACCTCGAAATTGTGACCCTCCTGCCTCAGTTTCCCAAGTGTTGGCTTTAACTTGTGTGCCACTACCGATTTACTAAGATGCCTTCTTGTCCCAGCACTCCAAGTTAAAGCAAAGCAGCCCTCCACTCTGCCTCTGTGCTCTCTCAGCCTCAGTTTCCCGGTCTAGAAAACAGGCTTCAAACGGGCGAGTCTTGCATGGTTGGGACAACGGCAGAATCAGTTGGGATGGGAAGTTCAGGAAAGACTTCAACCAGTTAACATTCCCTTCTGGGGACCTCAGAGGGGAAGCTTTGGAGTGTCCCTTGCTCCGGTCCGGCGAGGGCAGCGGCTGCGGTGGCCAGAAGGGAACCGGACGGGATGACCTCATCCGTTGCTACAGTCTGGAATGCAGCTGGGGAGGGGGCAGGGTGCCCTGTCCCCGTCCGTCCGCCAACCCCCCCCCCCCAGCTTCCCGCTACCGCGCTGGCGTCGCCAAGGGGCCCTAGATCCTTTCCCTTCCGCTGCCCGCGCAGGAATGCGTGCAGATGGCCCTGGGCTCGCCCTTTGCCCGCCTCTCATTTAGTGCTCTGCCCTCCGATCCTTGGTCCTCTGTGCCCTCCCGCAACGTGACAAAATAACCCTAGAAATCTGCGCGTCCTGGCGTCCCAGCCTTCTACAGGTTGGCCCCACGCTCCCAGGACCGAGCGCACCTCCCCCGGCCCGCGCCCGCGGTTACCTCGTGTAGTCGAGCTCGGGGGTCCAAGGATTGGCGCTCTGGCGCGTCCCTGCGCAGCCCAAGAGTCGCTGGGCCGGTCTGCACCGCCCTGGCCGCGGGCTTGGTGGCCGGATCCCCGGGCGGGGGCGGGCTGCGGGCTCCCTCCGCCCCTGCTCCGCCCGCAGCGGCCGCGCCCCCTCCTGGGCTAGCCATGCTGCGGCAGGGGGTAGGGGTGTGCCAGGCCAGGCCCCTGCCCACCGCCCTTAGGCGGGACGACCTCTGTCCTGAGCCCGGACTACCCAGAGGAGGCCACTGGGACTCTTTGCTGCCCACTGCTCCTCAGATGACCTCGGGGAATCTAGGACTGACAACTTTGGCCTGGGTCTATAGCTTTTCTCTGTTGGAACTGGGGAAACTGGCTGGAAGACTTTGGACTAAGTGTGGGGCATTTACTCTTTCCGTTTTCTCTTCAGTCTCCTCCTGGCCACCCAATACTAGGCCCATGGGGTGCCAGCAGAACACTTAGTTTCTCTGGGGAAGAAGTCATTAGTACAGCCCACATGTAGAAAGGCAAATAGTATAGCATGGTAATGTCATGGACCCTAAAGCTAGTATGGCCCCTGTTCCTTCCTTGCCTTTCAGTGTCTCAGTTTCCCCCAAGAGGCTGGAGAGATGGCTCAGTGGTTAAGAGTGCTTCCTGCTCTTCCAGAGGATGGAAGGTCTGTTCCCAAAATAAACACACACACACACACACACACACACACACACACACACACACACACACACCTATTAAAGTGGAGTTATCAAACCAGACATCAGTTATTACATTATCTCCTGTTCCCTGCTCTAGCAACTTGGAGAGTTGTTGAACAGGTAAATGAGGTCACACCTTAGAAATCTTTAGTGAGGGGCCCCCACTTCAAAGAAGGCACAGAGTCAGCCATGTTCAAGCAGAGATGGCCCTCTACATCCGTTGTACCTCATCTCTCTGAGGACAGACAGCAATCCTGGGAGTCTGGCAGTCTGCAGTCTGACAGTGAGATGTTGAGCAAGGTTCCCGGAAAGAGAGGAAAGCTGAGTTAAGGCCTAAAGAAATAGAAAGAGCAACAGAGAGCCTAGGGAGTTCACACAGGACGGACTGTGGACAAAGGCTCTGAGCTATGAAGCAAGGATGGAGCTAGTCAGCACTGTCCCTGCAGGGGTGAGGGGCCATAAGGAGAGGTAGACAGAGTGCTAAGCCTCTAGGGTTGGCTCACCATATCCTCAAGCTGGTCTCCTGGGGAGGGGGTCATTATTCCAGCTGGACAAATGACGAAGCTAAGGCACAAAGTATTTGCTCAAGTGGCATGCAGATAAGATTGAGAGATAGGTGGTTGGAGATCTCCCCCCCCACCCCGGGGCAGCCCAGGAAAATTGGGAAGTGTCCCCAAGCCTCAGAGGCACTGAAGCACATGGATGAGGAGGCTGGGACACAGAACAAAACCTGGCCAGGGTCTGGGTATTTAACTATGGCCAGGTGCATATGTAGATGCAATTAAAAACCTCTCTGCTTTTATTGAGCACCTAATGTATACCATGCATAATCACATTTAATCTCCCTGTGCAGACAATTGCCTCATCATGTCCATTTTTCAAAAAAGTGAGGTGACTTGTCCAGGGCCTCCTACTTTGTCAGGATGACCACAATTTCCTGTTTGTCAAGAGCACCAGTATCCTGGCTTGATCTTCAATACCACTTGCTTTTGCCCTCAAAGGTGCTCTGGTTAGCTGGAAAGCCATTTGTCCCTCCAGCCTCCAGCCAGGGTTCCTAGAGCAGCTCAGAAAGGAAACTATTTGGCTCAGTTTCAAAGATCCAGAGTTCAAGGTTGCCTGTGAACATGCTGTAGTCTTCTCTTTAAAATAGGACTAGCTCCAGGGCAGGCAGTTACCATACTTGAGGGAGTATTCCAAAGAAATGCCCAGAAAGCTGTCTTTGTTTTGTTTATTTTGAGACAGCATCTCACTATGTAACCCTAGCTGGCCCAGAACTCATAATGTAGACTAGGCTGGCCTTGAACTCACAGAGATCTGTCTGCCTCTGCTTTTGCTTTAGGAGTGAAGGCCTACACTACCCTACCCTGCTGAGAAAGCTGTTTGGATGCAAGTGATCACCCTGTGTCCACTCTTGCACCATCCTCTGTACCCTGGCTCAGTGGTTCAGAACCTCCCAACCTCTGGACCAGATTCCAAATACTCCATCTCTTCCAGATGGCTGTGTGGTAATCTTCTAGGCAAACATTCTTGTCCCTGTTGTACAGCTGGATGAACTAAGGGTGAGAAGAGCCCTTGCTCACATGGATTGAGAAGTCTATCTCCATGGACATCAAAGCAATCAATTCCTGCTCCTGGCTCCGCTCCAGATTTTAGGATCTCACTCGGTTTCCTCTGGAAAATGGAAAGAAAAGGAGACCCCAGGGGGAGAGATGGCTCAGTGATTAAGAACACTGACTGTTCTTCCAGAGGACCAGGGTTCAATTCCCAGTACCCACATGGCAGATCACAACTGTCTGTAACTCCAAGATCTGATACCTTCACACAGACATGCATGCAGGCAAAATGCCAATGTACATAAAATAAAAATAAATAAATTATTTGGAAAAAAGAGCCCTGGAATCCGGGTGAAGGGTAAGCACTCCCCTCATGTCTTTTTCTTCAGATTTTCCCCCCTGCCTGCCTACTAGGCTGTGCCAGGAGTGCAGGGGTTAACTTGCTAGATTCCTAATTACCATGCAGGATGCAGAACAAATGGCTCCCAGCTGGGGAAGTGAAGGAGAGCTGCTGCTGACTTGGTTGCCTGGGATTCTCCTGTGCTGGAGACACCAAACCCTGGGCCTGCATCCTCCCAAGACTTAGCTGCCCTGACTTCACCCTTACATACCGGGGGTGGGGGTTTATGGGGAAGAGATACTTCCAAGCAGGGAGCTCTCTATGGAGATGTCAAGGACACAGGTTGAGATAGGGTACTTCCCACTTGGGGCAGCCTTCTGTAGATTCCTATGAGCAGAGACCCTTGGGCTGGGTTGACCCTTGGGTTGGCTTGGCCATATCTGTCAGCCCTTCCTGGGCAGCATTCTTCCTTGAATTCCAAAGTCTGTCTGGATTGCTGGCCAGTTTATTCCTCTACCCACTGGCCCAGTCTTCCCAGTCCTCTGTCTCTTATTGTCCAAGGGTCTATCCACCTGCAGTTGCAAAAGCTCAGTTATCCAGCTGTCTAGCTGCCTATCTCCTCCCATCTACCTCCTTACCCTGCATCTATCCATTTACCTACCTACCCACTCACCCACCCATCTGTTGATCCAAACCTATACCGGCCCAATCATCCAACCACATATCCACTCCTCCACTGTTCCCCAGTCACCTATTCATCCCATCTACCCATCCATGGATGCTTCTGCTCCTCAGGCATCCACTCTCTTTCCACCAACATCCCTGACCACTACACATTTACCCACCCAGTTTGCATCTCACATTCAACTATTCATTTTACTTTCCATCTGATGATTCCCTTATTCTGCTAGTGACCACATCTCTGAGACTATGTGTGCGCGCGCACGTGCGCGCGCGCGCGCATACACACACACACACACACACACACACACACACACACCCTGCCAAGCACACTGAGGCCCTCCAGAAGCCATTTCTCAAGCTAGATTGCCTATGGTCTAGCCTCCATGTGGGCACCTATTTGCCAGGGATCATGCAATGACATGCCTACTTTGTACTCCTGGCATGTTTGGGGAATGGTTAGGGCTGTTGTAAGTAAAGGATCCTCATCCTTTCACCAGGGCACAACTTTATGAAGGCAGGCCTCTTGTTCTCAGGGACTAGATTCCCACAGGGCTCAGACATGCATGGACACCTCAGAGGGAGCAGCCAGTATTTTGGGGTCCCCAAGAGTTTTGTGCTGAGATGTCATTATACCTAAGGGATAAGGCATGGGGCCAAGAGGATGGCTGTACCCCTTGCTCTCCCTTGTAAAATCCAGGATCCTTTGTTTTTTGTTTTTTTTTTTTTTGTTTTGTTTTTTGTTTTTTTAAAGGTAAGGTCTTATTATGCTGTGTTGGCTGGCCTAGAACTCACTGTGTAAACCACCAGACTAGCTTTAAACTCATATATGCTGGGATTAAAGGTATGTACCACTATGCCCAGTCCCAGAATACATTTCTTTTCTATTTTTGTTTACTTTATTTTATTTATTTATTTTTGTTTTTTGAGACAGGGTTTCTCTGTATTGCTTTGGAGCCTGTCCTGGAACTTGCTCTGTAGACCAGGCTGGCCTCAAACTCACAGAAATCCATCAGCCTCTGCCTCCTGAGTGCTGGGATTAAAGGCGTGCACCACCAATGCCAAGCTTCTATTTTTTTTTTTTTAACCACTTGAAAATTTAAAATTTTATGTGTATGGGTGTTTTGCCTCCATGTATATCTATGCACCATGTGTGTCTGGTGCCTGCTGAGTCCAGAAGAGGTTGTTGTAACTCCTGGAACTAGAGTTACAGATGGTTGGGAGCCACTATGTGGTACTGGGAATCAAGCTGGGTCTTCTGGAAGAGCAGCAAGTGTTCCTACTGCTGAATCATTTCTCCGGCCCCTGCCCTGGAATACATTTCTAAGTCAGGCAAAGTTAGGTTTACATCTCAGCATTGCCTGCCACTGACAGTGTGACTTTTTGCCTGGGCCTCTCAGTTGGACAGTCTATGACAAAGCATGGTTATCACAGTTGGTCCCGTGGTTGTGGCCAGGGAAAGGTGGCTGCTGTGGTTTTTGTTTTCATTTACTTTTCCCATGGGCCAAATTCAACCTATGTGTGCCAAGGGAAGAGCTGCTGGGAGAAGCACTGGGCTAGCATGAGTGGGGATTGTCAGGGAAGGGTGGTTAGTGGTCGCTTTCCCTAGGGGTAGAGTTTAATGAGGAAGACAAGAGTCTAAAATCCTGGTCAAAGGAAACAATGAATTGTAACTCTGGCAGGAAGGCTTCTTGGGGAAGGTGACATTTGAGCTGGGCCTTGTGTCTCTGGGCAGATGGAGCTGGGTTTGTGAAAGCAAAGAGGTGGAGGTGAGCTTGTGCACACCTATGGATGGTTTGTGACTTGGCCAGGTAGAATATGAACTGTTTATCTGCTTTACCATGAAGGATGGAGTTCAGAG